AAAAAAAAAAAAAAAAAAAAAAAAATCTATTTTTTTTTTTTTCTTTCTTTCTTTAATTTTAAGATTCTGTTTTTGAGGTCAGAGCTCATGGGATCAATTTGAGAGATTTTTACCTTTTTAAGAGAGTTTTTTTTACCTTTTTACCTTTAGCTGAGCACAGTACATTCACCAACTGTGCTCAGTTTGGGTGGCTGAAAGCTGAACCTTATAGGCTTAAAGGGACTGCTAGTATGTTTCTTTGGGGGATATAAAATGTTCTAAAATTAGATTATGGTGATGGTTGCACAACTCTGTAAATATGCCCCTAGAAAAACCATTGAATTGTACACTCTAATGGGTGAACTTTATGATATGTAAATTATATTTCAATCGAGCTGTTAAAAAAAAAAGAAAGAAGTAAAAAACCTAAACAAAGACTACATAAGAAATTGAAAAGGTATTTAAAAACTTACCCTTACAAAAGGCACCAGGACCAAATAATTTTACAGATTGATTCTACCAAGCTCCTTAGAAAAAGAGAGGAAAAGTGATACAGAAAGGAAATGACCAATTTTCAAATAAAGATTCACCTAATGGGAGGCACCAGCTATTTTCACTACTAGAAATATTTGGAAGAACCTAATCACAAAGACTCATGGAACCAAAACTACATTTTGTGATCTTAAGGATCAGGTTTTCAAAGAGAGTCTTGCTACCTATAGAACAATGACTTTGAGTTTTGTAAATTCAAGCGAAACCCTGAGGAAGTTCAGAGCAAAAACTGTGACCAACCTCGTGGAACAAATCTCACCAAAGACAAAAGAGGTTTCAAATTCAGATAATGGCAAACTATGACTGTTCCTCTTCTTGATATTAAAACTGCTGATGGTTATTTGTTTCACTGGGTTTGTGAGGGATTTACCAAGATATACAAGCAACGAGATCCAGAAGAACTCAATCTTATGACCACTGCCATCGAGCATGCCAAATCTGGAAGACCCAAGAGGTGCAAACAAATGACTTGAAAGATGTTTGAGAAAAGGCACTACTCAGCTTTTCTCCAGACAGCAGTGGGAAAACGTAGAAAAGTTTTGCCAGTCTGTTCACCATTTCCATGATGGATTTATTAGAAAAGCCAACATTCTAAAGAGGCCCAAATCTGAATTATGAAATGAATGTAGCTGCTTGGTAAAGGCAATAGAAAGTCTATTAAAATAATTCGCTACAGTAGAAAAATTTCAGGAGAAAAAATAATTTATTATGACTTATCATGATCGATTATGTTAGTTGGTATTGAAAGTATATTAATAAAATTACATTTCCTTGCACACAGCACCAAATCTCCATGTTCTTATCATTTTTACTGTCTTCTACTTACAATGGAAAGACGATGTCCTCAACAGCTTCAAAGTGACAAGTTGTAATGAGAGTCTCTTTGAAATCTGTGAAGTTGACACGATAAATGTGTGACTCTTTTGTTCCTACAAAGAACTGGTGTCCTTCCCCTCGAAGTGTGATAGAAGTGATGCCACCTTGTAACTGGATTTTCCTTTAAGGAGAAGCAGATTTCCTCAGTCGATGAGTATTTATTAACTGTCTGAAGCATTACAGAGGACACACGTCAGGCGTGTGACCTGGGACATGACTTTGAGGAGGTGGCATAGTTGGAAAGGCAGGGGTTACAATATTAAGCGCCCATGGTCAGCAAAGGGAGAGGCCCACATGGCCTACTATAGTCAGGGGACCTTATCTGTGAAATGTGGTCTGAAATGGGTCATGTAACACAGGTAGGATTTAGATAGGGGGAACATTCCAGGCAAGCAAATGGGCACAAATGATCATGCCAATTAATTAAACACTTTATTAACTCCATTTCTGGGAAATAATCCTAAAATCAGGGGAAAAACCCTTTATGTCAAAGAATGTTAGTGTAACCTTATTTAAAAGAGTAAAAAGTTGGAAACAACCTAAGTATCCAATTGTGTTGGAATGGTTAAATGATCTATGGAGCAGTGACTTCAAAAAGCATTTGCCTGGGGCTTCCCTGGTGGCGCAGTGGTTGAGAGTCTGCCTGCCGATGCTAGGGGAAGCGGGTTCGTGCCGCGATCCGGGAGGATCCCGCGTGCCGCGGAGCGGCTGGGCCCGTGGGCCATGGCCGCTGCGCCTGCGTGCCTGGAGCCTGTGCTCCGCAGCGGGAGAGGCCACAGCAGTGAGAGGACCGCGGACCTAAAAAAAAAAAAAAAAAAAAGTATTTGCCTGGCCACTAAAACCACGTTTAAAAGGTTATGGAGTATACATATTTTACCACCATAAAAGATCATGTAGTAATACTGAAACTATTTATGAGGTTTGCATTAAGTAAAAGACCAGAATACAAAAGTTTATATATTAAAAAAAGTACAATCCTTTTAAAATGTGTATGAATAACACGGGCAAGAAGAAATAACAAAATGTTAATAGTGGCTATGTTTGCCAGAACTTTCAGGGGTCAGTTTTTCTTCTTCCACCTTTCAGATATTTCAGATCCCCCTGCTCCCCAAATGCTTACTGAGTATGAGCTTTCTTAAAAAAAGAATATATAAATGAACGAGGCCCTCGAAACCCAACCTTGCTCTGCAACTAACTTAGTTTTGACAATGAAAATACAGTGAGGGTTCTTGTGCAGGGAACAAGCATGGGAAATGCAGTATTTTACAAAGAGTCATTTGTTGTTGGGACACAGAACAGTTAAGGGGGAAAGGACAGAACCCAAGTCATATCCCAGCTCCTTCACTAACTAGAGCTCTGTGACTCTTGGATAAGTTAGAAACCTCTGGGCCTCAGTTTACTCAACCACAGAATAATTCCTCCTTTACAGGGTTGCAGCTGGAGATAATGGAGGTAACCCTACATGAGCCCACACAGGGCAGCTGAGAAACACTGACCCTTGGCATCTGGGCTGCAAAGAATACAAGGTGCTAGGGTTCCCAGGGCTATAGGGGCGAGGCCAGGATCTCTGATGCCCAGCCGTCTGTACAAGCATCTGAGTTCCCTTTCTAACCTCCATGACCTCTCCTGGGAGTTGCTTCCTCAATCTACATACCCAAGGAGAAGGAAATCACAGTCTCCAATGTGAGCCTTTTGCTGGCACACAGGGTTATCCTGGAGACATTTACAGCACCGACCTTGTAATAATTACTCTGAGTCTAATTATCTTCATTACAATGGGACCAAGGGGTTAAAAAATGAAAGGGTTAATTTCCTATACTCACTTCATGGGTCCAGAGTCTACCCAACACTGCTCTGAAGTTGCCTCCCCCTTTTTTTTATTGCCCTTCATACAAACACAAAACTGGTCCCAATATATTCTCCATAAGACCTACACTGAACACTGAATTTAAAGTTGCAACCTGTCCCGTCTGCTTCAAAACCTAACCGCCCGCCTCCACAAGCTACTCATTTATCCCCATGGTACTCATCACTCTCTAATACCATGTATTTTACTTGTTTATTTTGTTTATTATTTATTGTCGTCTCCCTCCTGCTGGAATGTAGACTCCATGAGGGTAGGGATGGTTTTTTTCCTTCTTTTTTCTTTACTTTATTCATTGATTTCCCAAGCACCTAAAATAGTGCCTGGTACATAGCAAGCGCTCAATACAGATTCAGCTGCATGAAAACAGGTGATACTCGTTTCTCCAATGTATATCCATATACATAGAGGTCAGAGGCCATGTGGAGCGTGTCTAGGGGTATCTGGCTTCCGTTGAAGCTAAGTTCAAGAGCTGCCTCTGCTCCTCTGGGAAGTGTCTTTCCATCCCAACAGGATCACTCCCTTTTGTAATCTTCTCTGCAACATTCATTATATATTTTACTTTATTGGGACCATGAGATTGTGTTTATATATCATCTTATATTATAGTGACTTTTTCATGTTTGTCTACCTTATCCCCAAACCAGACTCTAAGTTCTGGGAGGGCAAAGACACATCTTATTTTTTCTTTCTTTATTTTCTTTCTTTCTTTTTTTTTTGACATCTTCATTGGAGTATAATTGCTTTACAATGGTGTGTTCGTTTCTGCTTTATAACAAAGTGAATCAGCTGTGCACATACATATATCCCCATCTTTCCTCCCTCTAAGATGAGATTCTTTAACCAAATAACACTTTGCCAATATCACTTAGTTCCCGGCTTTAAGCAAACCTCCCTCTAGAGGGTCTCTCCCCATCCAAACCCTGTGGAGTCTGGAACTTACTTGATGGGTCTGTAGCTGGGGCTTTTACAGAAGACCAGCAGTCCGGCTCCAGAGCCCACCAATAAACCCCCCATCTTCAGGCACCTGATAGCTGACACTCCCTAGGGGGAGAAAGAGCATTAAGAAAAAGGCCAAATGGTTTCATCATTAAGAATCTATGCGTGATGGGCTTCCCGGGTGATGCAGTGGTTGGGAGTCTGCCTGCCGATGCAGGGGACACGGGTTCGAGCCCTGGTCCGGGAGGATCCCACATGCCGCGGGGCGGCTGGGCCCGTGAGCCATGGCCGCTGGGCCTGCGCGTCCGGAGCCTGTGCTTCACGACGGGAGAGGCCACAGCGGTAAGCGGCCTGCGTATGCGTGACCTGACACAATGGGCATGGCCAGGGCCACGCTGATGCTGCCCTGGATGAGGCTAAGGAAGGTGTTGCCTGTGATGTACCCCCAGGCTGGCTAAGACGCCTCGGTGCCAACAACAAGAATTAGCCCTCCCGGTCCTGCAAGGAGCAAACATGCTGCACCAAGCTTCTTGTCTTTAAAACCACCTGTGCATTCTGAATATATTAAAAATTAACACTTTATATCCACCCAGATGCAGTTAGCGCAGAGACATAAGCACGGCCACAGCAACATCAGTTCCTCAGTTGCCGCTGTTTTCACCAGAACTTAATCCTTAAAATGCAGAGAGACTGTATTGAAATCCAAAGAAAGCACAGGAGACCGCTTATTGTTTGGTGACTGTATTTTCTGAACTAAAGCATTCAGTCTGTGATCTTACCAGTAATAGGAAACATATTTAAAGTCAAAGCCATCTTCAAAGTCTGGGGATGTATGATGGTCATTTTATATCACCCTCTATGAAGTTCTAATCTGAAAATGTGCACAACCAATATCTTCTTTTTTTTAATTTTTTTTTTTTTGGCCAAGCTCACGCAGCACGCAGGATCTTAGTTCCCCGACCAGGGATTGAACCCATGCCCCGTGCAGTGGAAGCATGGAGTCCTAACCACTGGACCGTCAGGGAAGTCCCCCAATATTTTATTTTAAAACACTCAATAATAAGATAGCTAGTGACTTGAGAGGTTCGTGTCTTAATGAAGTTTGGATATTATAAAACAAATATTATGTCCCTTCAAGTTACTTTAAATTGAATTTTGCCTGTTCTGGCTCAAAAGGCATTCCATGACGCTTGAGAAGGGAAACCAAGGCTCAGGAATATGAAGGCATGAACCAGAATTGCATGCTGCCCTCTCCTGCATCCCACCCCCAGCTCCAAAAGTGCTGGAGCAGGACCATGGGATGAATGCCTGGCCCATGAGGAGACAACCCTGAATGCTAAATATTTTTAGCATTTGTTCAGGGACTTAGGGAAGCAAGGGATAGAGTTTCACAGAGCTTCGAAGTTACATACGTGTAATTTCTAAACTTTTTTGAAACTATAGATGATACTGTTCAAGTGCACAGGTTCTGGAGCCAGTCTGCCGGGCTTCCAATAGCAGTTTTAATACTTGTTAGCTGTGAGATCTTAAATGGCACGTGCTTTAGTTTTCGTCATCTGTAAAGCACAGTTGCAGTGGTACCTATATCTCATCAGATACTCTCTCCAATGAGAGTACAAGAAAGGTGCTATGCTCCATGTCTGACCCCTCAACATTTACTGAGTATGGACTGTTGTTGAAATTATTATTATAATTGACTTCTTCATTTCAGTGCTGTATGCCTAACAGTGCTGTCTGTCCATTTGAAACCATTCCAATTCTTTACCTTTCTGACCATAGAGCAAACATTTCAGTAGAGTTTCAAAATGGGTAACTGCCCAAGATTACTTGATATTCAAACCAAATGTCTTCAGTGATACCTCCTATCCCTTTGTCCTAAAAGAATTATTTTCTTTCCGCTTGTGTAAAAGGCATCTTGGAAACATCGTTTTATGGAATTTACCATTGGATCTGAATTAGGTATTAAAGCATCCATAGGAGACTTAAGTGCCACAGGTTTGAGGAACACTAAGACAGTCAGCATCTTTTCTGGAGAGGCACTTACATCCCAAGTGGTGGGGAGGCAAAAATATCCTGATCAGAATTTTCACATAGTGTTTTTTTTGTGGTACGCGGGCCTTGTTCCGCTGTGGCCTTTCCCGTTGCAGAGCACAGGCTCCAGATGCGGTGGCTCAGCAGCCATGGCTCACGGGCCCAGCTGCTCCAGCAGCACACAGGGATCCTCCTGGACCGGGGCATGAACCCGCACCCCCTGCATCGGCAGGCGGACTCCCAACCACTGCGCCACCAGGGAAGCCCATCACATAGTGTTTTATGGAGCCCTTTGGAGGTATCTCAGGAGTCAGAACTGGCAGGGCTCTCAGCCTTTCACTCCTTTAACCTGATCTGCTTTGCTTTCATCTGTTGAATATATTGGAATCCCTCTCCTAAAAATAATTTGAAAAACACTGGCTTGGACTATACTTTGATCTCCTGTGGGGTTATTTCTAGACTCTTCTCTACCTATCCTGGAGATTTCTCTCATTCTTATGCATCTCCTTAAAAGCTGGAATAGTAAACGGTTATGTGATTAAGAAAACTCTAACGTCTTCCCAGGAACATGGTGCAATATTGCAAAGCTTCTTGGGACCATTGGCTAAGTGGAAATGCATCTAAGCTTAGTTAGAACCATCTGTTCTATTAGCAGACATGAGATAGGCAGGTGCAGAACCTGGCAGCTTTCAAATTCAAAGTTTAGTAGAAACAGCCCTTGTAACTTTCTGGGGCACCGGAAATAACAGCACTTATTCTGTCCAATTACCCTTTGATTGTAGGCTTTTTATTTTGGTTTAAATATCAAAATCTCTCACTGGACTTTTAACCTGAATTGTTAGGAATTCTGCAAATATAAACAATGAACAATTTCTACGTCTTGCTTATGACTTAAAATGTCAGCTGAGGCTAAAATCTAAGATCTGGTTATTCGATTAGAAAATTAAATGATATGTAGTCTTGTAAATGAAAGAGCACATGTCTCGTACACATGGCAACTAGGCTGCCAAAATGCTGCAACCAACGTGGTTACAAATCACAAAGCCACAGGCCTTGAGCTTTGAAGATGAGGGAATAAAAGGTGTGATTCTGATCCCTAATTGAGGACACGTAGGAATACCTCTGCCCTGAATATAAACCAGGGAGGAGGGCTTGAGTGAACTAATCAACTTAACCTTGCAAATTTAGGTGTGGCCTTGGGTCCATCACAGACTTGTCATTTTTTTTCTCCACAGACACTTAATGGAAGTCTGGGCTCACAGTGGCAGGAAGAAATCACGAGAAAATGTCAGGGCAGAGCAGACTTTGATGGTCTCTACTCACCAGACTGAATCTGTCCTTGGCAGGCCCAGTGTCTGCCAGCAGCCTGGTCCTAGGGCTCATCTTTAGAATATCTCCAGTGGTGGTGCCGAGGTACAAAAAGCTATCATCATCGGCCATCTGGGGATCAGAGGGAAGAGGAAACCTGAAGACCTGGTTTTCCCCAGAGATGTGCACGAGCCCCTGATCAGGGAGGGGATGAGCTTTCTCTGAACCCCACTGTGACCTACAAAGGGCACAGGGAACTCTGCTCAATATTATGTAACAACCTAAATGGGAAAATGTATAACTGAATCACTTTGCTGTACACCTGAAACTATCACAACATTGTGAATCAACTATACTCCAAGATAAAATAAAAAGTTTAAAATAAAAAAAAAAAGACCTACAAACGTCCTTATGGCGACTCCTGTTTCCTCAGACTCAAAGATGGGTAAGAACAGCTTCGAGGGGAGCACGATAGGGCCAAACTCAGAACTGGAGGAAACATTAGACTCCAAGCAGCCTGTGCATTTCACCAGAAGTTGACCTGTGTCTGTTGTTAGCCTGCACATCCCGAGACACCTCCGAAGGGCTCCTAGGGAGAAAGTGTGCTCCTCCAGAGAGAATGTGCATTTGCTTTATCTCCTATTTCAAAGCCTACATTCATAAAATGAGTATGCATTAAACAAGAGGAAGTGGAGAATGGGGTTATATGCATGAATATTTGAATCCACCTTAAAAACATACGAATAATTCCTCCTTATGGAGGAAACTGCATTTCAACAAGGAGTTTCATTGTCAGAAACTTTATTTCCGGTGCAGAAATAACATAAGTGGCAAAGGGAGGTGCTGGGGGCTCTGAGTACCTCCTGGCTACATTGCTTCCCTCCAGGTGAGGCAGGTTCCTGGGGTATGATGGCAGTTCAGGTCCCACTGAAACAGATTTCCCCAGAGCTGCGTCTAGGCAGCCTCTCCAGCTTCTCACGGGAGCTCTCTCACCTGTGCCTCCTCAGTCAATGTCCCCCATGTCCAGACCTCACCTCCCCACCCCTAGCCCTAGGTACGTGTACCTACACACACGTACACAGACATGCGTACACGCACAGACACCTATCTTGGTCAGTATCGTTAACGGGAACTTATACTAACAGCTACCTAAAATAACAGAGTAATACTCACTGAGATACTCATGACTATTCTTTTCATTTGTCCTGTTTGGCACTCGGTTGGCCAGATCTTTCTATTTGGGAGATCCAGTTCCCATACTCGAATTGTCCCACTGGAGAAAAGAAACCCACAATCAAATGGATACCCATTTAATAGACACTTCATCTCTTCTCTGTTTTCTGCAGTGCCTTGAAGGAGAAGCTGAAAGGAAGAGAACTAGGTATTTCGGGGGATTTGTTACAGCCTGGTGATCTACCCAAGATACAGTCGTCCCGTGGTATCCACGGGGGATTGGTTCCAGGACCCGCCAGCAGACACCAAAATCCGCGCATGCTCATAGCCCATAGGTGGTCCTGCTCGGTATCCACGGGTTCTGCATCTGCTATTCCGCACTCGCAGATTCTACAAACTGCAGATCTAAACATGGTACGTGATCCACAGTTGGTTGAATCTGCGGATGCATAACCCAGAGATACCGAGGGATGATTGTATTCCATTCAGTGCTCACGACCACCCTGTGAAGTAGGTTTTATGATCCCCCCACTCTCCAAATGAGGAAACGCAGAGCCTACACACAGCAGAGCAAGGATTCACACCCAGCTCTCTCTCACTTTGAAGCGAATAGTCTATCCACTGGTGAAAACAGAGACATACGAATAAACAAGTAAGTAAAGCAAACCAGAATTCTTCAAGTTATGTTTCTTTCAAGGTATGGAGTTGTGAGGGAAAAAAATTTTTTTTTTTTGCGGTACGCGGGCCTCTCACTGTTGTGGCCTCTCCCGTTGCGGAGCACAGGCTCCAGACGCGCAGGCTCAGCGGTCACGGCTCACGAGCCCAGCCTCTCGGCGGCATGTGGGATCCTCCCGGACCGGGGCACGAACCCGTGTCCCCTGCATCGGCAGGCGGACTCTCAACCACAGTGCCACCAGGGAAGCCCTGTGAGGAAAAAATTTTAAAAGGAAGGACTACCTTATGGAGAGTCCTGTCTACAAGGAAGGAGAAATGAGACAGGGCAACTAAATGCCAAACGTCATCAGCACCTCAGATGAGACTCGGCACATACTTGCTATTTAATCATTGTATGTTAAGTTACTTTGAATACCTGTATAAAAATATCATGGTTGGGCTTCCCTGGTGGTGCAGTGGTTGAGAGTCCGCTTGCCGATGCAGGGGACACGGGTTCGTGCCCCAGTCTGGGAAGATCCCACATGCCGCGGAGCGGCTGGGCCCGTGAGCCATGGCCGCTGGGCCTGTGTGTCCGGAGCCTGTGCTCCGCCATGGGAGAGGCCACAACAGTGAGGAGGCCTGCATACCGCAAAAGAAAAAAAAAAAAATCATGGTTAACATTACAAAGACTTCAGCTGATATCTTAAGGCAGAAAAGATTAATGCGGAAATACAGTTCATTAAGTTTAGTTTTCCTTTTTTTTTTTTTAGCACCCAGAGTCACACACATATTAGTAAGTGCTCAACAGTATTGATATTGTGAATGTACTTTGCAAACTAAGAAAAAAAATCAGCTTTTCCATGGCCTCTCTGGTAGATATCATTTGGATGCTGAAATACTGGAATTTGCAGGACATCTCATGGGAGTCAGTATAATGGAATACCTGGAATTGGGACCATCACGGAGAATACAGTGTATATGGGTACATACCAGAAATGTTATTTAAGAGTGCTAACTTTTTCTCAGTTGCCCATGTCACGAGAAATTCAAGCAGACCTATAATAAAGATTGTGCTAAAAAAACTTTTTTTTTGGTTTAAATTCAGGTTTTGACTCCTGGAGAAACATTATCAGCAGACATCAGAATTAGCTGATACCTGCTGCTCAATCACCTGTGGAAGAGCAGATAGACCCCACCCCCATAAAAGTTTTAGGCAAACGACTCTGCAGACCTGAAGGGAGTTGAAGAGCTTCACGGCCACCAGTGACCCCCCGAAGTCAGGGTAGGACGTGGTCAGCTGCTTTAGGATCAGAGAACTGTCCTGATAAGATTCTCTCCTTAGGGGCTGGCTTTCATGCCAGCCAGTTAGTTTCATGGCCTCTGAATAAATCCTTCCTCGTAATTAGCCACGGAACAGAGGCATGCCGGATGTCACAAGGTGGGGGCAGGAAACAGCACAGATTCTTTACTCTGGCTGGAAAAGTAACAAATGACGGGTGCCTTTCACAGATGGGAGACCACAGGTGGGCTGAAAAGGATCGTCCCAACCAACATATGCTTCAATCCTACCTTCAGATTTCTGACCTGCGAATTGGTATGTGACATGAAAGAGGAGGCTTTTATATAGGTTTAACCTTCATGTCAAACTCCAAACAGGGCTCTGATAGGTGAACCTGTAAATTAAGTTCTTCTGTTAGACAGATGCCGGCCTCTGTTCAGACCTTCAGCTTGGTACCCCACCCGCTTAGCTGCTTGATGCCGACCCTACCAGAAATGATGGCATATGGCTGATAGTCCAATGTCTGAAACTTGCTGGTACAGTTCATTCGCAAACTCTCATTTCACGAGGTCTAAATTAAGCGCAGGTGGTAAGAAACATCAACCAGTAGGTGAATCGGTGCAACTAGGCAAATGACCCTGTGAGCACTGATTGGGGTCGATGTGTTATCTGTAACAAACAGACCAGAGCCTGAAATGGGTTTAGCAGATCAGCAGAACCTTTTCAGTAGGAAGCACAGAATGGTCAAATAACCATATTTAAAAAGACTTTCAGCTAAAAGGATTTTTAATGATTCCCAAATCATGAAAATTAAGATGGAAGTTCTTTTTCCAGGACGAAAGCCCCGTTCACCCTAATTGGAATGACCATGTTTTCTGTGCAAGCAAATGGAGTGATTTACAAATTCTGGACACCCTGACAAGCAGATGCGTACTTTCCAGCAGTGACAAACATCTCATCGCAGCATTTGGAGAAGATGACCGTGGTGGCATTCCCAACGTTGGGGCCAGCAGCAGGGCTGCCACAGATGGCGGCTCTCTTGGCTATGCTCCACACCACCACACTGCCCGGACGAAAGGACAAAGAGAGTCAGGGGAAAACAGGCTTTCAAAATAAGAAACGGCTCTTTTAGCGGTTCTAGAAGGAAAAAATTAAAAGGTTACTTACAGAGGAACAAAAGAATTACACCGCCCCCCTGCCCCCCAGACGTCTCCTCAATCGCACTGGGTTAGAAGATAAATGGGTGACGTTTTAAAAGTTTTGAAGGAAAATGATTATGAGGCTGGAAAACCATCAGCCTATCAATCAAGTTTGATGCTAAATCTAAAGAGATTTTCAGACAGGCAGGGCGTAAAAGTTTACCACTCATTTATCTCTTGTAAAAAAATTTTCTTGGGGAAGTATTCCAGCAAAAAAAAAAAATTCATTAATTAGAAGCAATAAAGGGGATGACATAGGTGTGTTTTCAAACTTGAACATGTAACTGATTCACTTGGAGGGCTTAGTGAAACAGAGAGTGCTAGGACCTACCCCCAGACTTTCTGATTCAGTAGGTCTGGGGTGGGGCCTGAGAGTCTGCTTTGCTAAAACGTCTCAGGTGACACTGATGCTGGTGGTCCGGGGACCACACTTTGAGAAGTGCGGTTGTAGGTTACCTTTCCATCTTTCTGAGTACAGTCATAAAATTTAGTCCTAAACTGAGTAGTTTGCTTAATGATAGCAAAAATGTGTGTGTGGGGGTGTTACATTGAACACTGGGATCAGAGTATTAAAGAAGAAGAATGCAGATGGTACAAACCTGGTTAATGTAAAAACATGCCTACCTATGTTCCCCAAATTTTCTACATGTGGAATGAATTATCACAGGTGGTCTAAATCAAGGTATAACCAAGATCGCCAGGAAGGGGGAAGGAGAGCTATGAATTGTTTTTCTTAGTAGGAAGTTGATAGATACCACCTAACGTGGAAAAATTGAGAGGCATGTCACTTAAAAGTTGTAAAAAAACTAGAGGAACCAATATCAAAAAAGACTGTTAAAACCTCATACCCAAGAGAAATAAAAATGTACATCCACACAAAATCTTGTATGCAAATGTTCCTAACAGCATTATTAATAGTAGCCTAAAAGTGGAAATGACCCAAAAGTCTATACATTAATGAATGGATAAGGAAAATGTGGTATATCCATACAATGTGAAAACAGTCACAAAAGCCCGCATATTGTATTATTTCATTTATGTGAAACATACAGAGGAGGCAGATCTATACACACAGAAAGTAGGTTAGTGGTTGCCTGAGGCTGGGGCAGGGGCAGTGGTGGAGCAGCAATTGCGAGTGACGGCTGATGGGCACTGGGTTTCTTTTTGAGGTGTTGAAAATGGTCCAAAATTGATTGTGGCAAAGGTTGCACAATATAACACGTAACAAATGTCCTTGGGGAAGTATTCTGGCAAAAAAAAAAAACACCAAACAAACCCACTCAACTAACCACTATACTAAAAACCACCTGACTGTACATCTTAAATGGGTGGATTTCATGGTATGTGAAATGTATCTCAATAGGGCTGTAAAAAAAAAGACTCCAAGTGCCTCTGGACAGTAGAACTCTTCATGGTGGAGGGGATACAAATTTTGAATCCTTCTGCATAGTAGGACAACACACTTGCTTTATAAAACATGAACAGGTATAGCTTTAATTTTTCAAAAACAAGTTTAAGATTTAAAAATAAATAAAAGGCACCAACATAGACAGCTGGCCAAATAAACTCCAGCATATCCATACAATTGAATAGCATACAGTTGTTGCAAAGAGTGATATGTATGTCTACATATATATACATAGAAGATATCCTTGGTATAAAGTTAGTCAAAAGCAGGTTGTAGTACAACACTGATAGTACAATAACATTAATGCAAAAGCTTCACAGATAGGTTACAAAATATTCAAAATGTATGCATATGCAAATTCTAGAGCATCCACTCTAGTTCCCAGCATCCCTTCTGTTTCTCCCCCTCTGTGGAGACACCAGGTGGTTTGGGTAGAATGGACCCTCCCACACGGTCAGGGTTGACCCATGACTATCCAAAAGCAGTCAACAGGACCCCATGCTCTTCACTACCGTGACTATTCAGGGATGGGCATGTTGCATTTTCCTAGTATAGCAAAATTTGTTTTTCTTTCGAGAAGAAACTTTCTTGAGAATGTTTTTCTCAACATCTCCAGTTTTCCGTAAGCAAATCTTCGATAGCCTAAAATCAAGCTTAAAATTACAGAGGAGATGACAGTTTTGCAGATTAGTCTTAGTTAAGGAGCCATTTTACTCTCCCCCCAAGGCCTAGCCTTGGCAACTCTTCGGCAGGGTCTGGGGGTGGGGGGTGATAATTGCCAAGCTTGAAAAGCCTCTGGGGCTGGGACCCAGGCATCAGGGGTCTTATTTCCTCAGGTGATTTCAATGTGCACGCAAGATTGAGAACTGCCTTAAGTTGAGCTGAGAATGTTAATAGCTGATTTCTGGATGCATTTCTTACAAAAAAAACCCCAAAACAGTCAAATGGGGATAAGCCAGGGAAGTCTGATTATTTACATGGCAAGAGAATGACCGTGAAAGGAGGAAATCTCGTGGCGATTTTGTTGATTTGCTATATATTAAGAGAACTGTCGATATACAACTACACACAAATGTAAACTTCCATTGTAATTAACCTGTGGATCTCAAACAAGAAAATATCTGTGAAAGTGCACCAAAGTATTAAATCCTACACAAACCTCAGGTGTTATTTTTCTTCTATAATTGATGTTCCTTTAGCATTAACACAGGAATATGTACTACATTGATTTTTATTCCTAATATAATGCTTTGAAATACTTTCCCCCCGCAATTTCATTTGTATGTATTCTCTCCCTACTAAACTTGACTGTGAGATCCTTGAGGGCTAAGATCATGTCTTGGTGAGGCAAGTTAAAAAATTTTAAATGCCACCTCTGGAGTCACACTGCCAGGGTTTGTCCCCCAGCTCTGCTACTTAGCAGCTGGTGAGTTTAGTTCCTCATCAGTCATATGGTCCCAATAGCTCCCACCTCATGGAGCTGTCATGAGGCTTAAAGGAGATCATGAAGTTAAGTTACTCAGCACACACCTGTCCCATAGTAAGTGCTCAAAAAAAAAAACAATTAGCTGTTGTCTATGATGAGAATGATGGTGACAAGATGATGTCATCTTTTACAGCAATGGTTCTCGATTTAGTTGCACATTAGAATCACCTGGGAAGTCTTTCTAACTCTTAAAGCCAAGGCCAAGTGATCAAAGTCTCTGAAGGTGGAGCCAACCATCAGTAATTTTCTAAAGCTCCCAGTTGATTTCAATGCACTGCCAGGCTTGAGAATCAGCATCCCATAATATTTTCGTCATAGCCTTCTCACACCACACACGCTCTATAGATGGGCAAACAGAGAATGTTAGAAAGGAGAGGGTACTTAACACATCTAGAAATATGCATGGCTGAAAATAGGTAACTATGCTTAGTTCATTACCTTCCATCATCTGGGCCTCCTAGTGATACCAAGTACAAATCATTTGGTGAAAAGGCCAGAGCTTCAATTTTGCCCTTGTGAAGTGATAGCCGAGCAATCAGCTCCCTTTTCTTATAATGCCACAAAATGATATCCGCCTGGGAGCAAGAATACATTGTCAGATCATAGACAGGCTTTGAAAGAACTGGAAGAGATAGCTACCCCTCTCGGTGAGAAATGATCATTCGTCACTTTTCTAGAAATTAGAGCAGGTCTTACAAACACGAGAGCAACAAGATGGAAACAGTTGTAAGCAGGGACGTTTGTTTCTGAGCATTACCGGTCACAAGTTGCACCATTGGGTATAAAACCACCAGGTTCCTCCGCTCTCAGCCTGATAGGATGAAAATGAGTTCCGAGAGGGGTCAAAGGAAGAGGAGGAAGTGTATAAACAGGGTAGCACAGAGCTCTTCTGAAGTGGGCAGTTTTTCTTGGGAGGCACCGCTAAATCTATTCAGAATGAATGATTTTTTAGTTTATTCACCTTGAAGCCCATGAATGTGACTTGTCCGGAAGCAATGTAAACTCCGCTCTTGGAGATGGTCACACAGGAGACATTGTTGCCATGACCGTGTAGGAAATTCTGTTCCTGAGTATTTAGTGCCTGAATGAGGATGGTGCAACCCAGAGGGTAAACCAGATGCTCCTGGTCGGGATGGCATTTTAGACCAGTGGGGACATGTCCTAAAAGAGAGATTAAAAATAAGAGTAAAAAATAAAAAAATAAGCCAGGGGCAGAAGTGGCTGGTGGTTTTTATTTAAATTGAGCACAAAAGAACGCTTTTGAAATAAGCCTTCGTTCAACTAAAATAAGTGTGTGTGTGTCTGTTTGTGTGTGGGGTGTGTGTGTGTGTGTGTGTGTGTGTGTGTGTCAGGGAAGGGTGATAGGTAATTTTATTCCACTGACAAGAAGGTTGGTCTAATAATATATAAGCTTCTCAAACTTTAAGGTGCATAAAAGTCCCCAGGGGCTCCGGTTAAAATGCAGATTCTGATTTTAGGTCTGGGAAGGGGCCGAGATACTGCATTTCCGACAAGCTCCCAAGTGATGCTGGAGTTACTGTTGCTGGTCCAGGAACCTCACTTCAGACCTAGGTCCAGTGTTTGTAATTCTCATAAGCACAGAGCACATGAAGCAGGAGAAGCCTGTCTGGGTGAGCGCATAGCCATAGGGAGAACGTGAATTCACTACCTTGGGCAGAAGTTTGGTAAAGATAAAAATTGGGGTTTTCGTTCTAAGTCTCTGGCAGACTGAAGAATCCCAGGACTTCTCATAGTGAGACCCCAATCCTCCAGATATTTGCCAAGAGCCAACAATTATAAATCTTTGTAATATGTTCTAATATGAAATAGACATGAGTCCTCCCTTGTTACTTATCTTTGGTCAGAATTGTTTTGGTTATTCTTCACATCTATTTTACAATATACACTTTAAAGTCAGCTTGAGTACTTGAAAAACTCATGATTGTATTTAGGGGAGTGGCATTAAATGTATAGATTAATTTAAGGGAAAATAATTTTTATAATAATACATTATATTTCCTTTCTAAAAGCAGGGTATGTTTTTCCATGAAGTCTCCTTTTATGCTCCCTGGCGGCATTTCTAACATTTCTTCATAAAGATCTCACACATTTATTTTGTTTACTTCTTGGTAGTTTAACATCTTGTTTTTAATTGCTATTTCCTTCCCCATCAAAAGAGTCACAGATATTTATTAATATAGTTTTCTGGTCCTTAATGAACTCAGCTTTTATATTTAACTCCCTCTGGAATTTAGTTTGATGCATAATGTGATTCCAGTAGCTAAACAAATTTTTTTTCTTCAAACGGCCAAATATATTAATTGAATAAACGATTTCTTTCACTTTAATTGTGATCATCGTTCCTTTTTTATGCAGTAAGTTCTCATAATACTAAGGTTTGTGTCTGGGGGTGAACTTGTCCTTGTGAAATGTATACTTAGTTTTTCTCATTGCAGGCTCCTTATAAACAATCATCTGGCTATCCATATGGTAAAAGTAAAATTAGATCCCTACTTCACACCATCCACAAACAATACATTCCAGATAGATCAGGGACCTAAATGTGAAAAACAAGACTTAATGTACATACAAGTCGTAGGAAATGACTTGAACATGACGCAAAAGAGCAAATCCTAACAGCAGAGGCCAATATGTGCATCCAGTTATGTTAAAAATCACAAACTTCCTGGGAGTTCCCTGGTGGTCTAGTGGTTAGAATTCTGGGCTTTCACTGCCGTGGCCCGAGTTCAATCCCTGGTCAGGGAATTGAGATCCTGAAAGCCGCGTGGCACAGCCAAAAAAAAAAAAAATTAAAAACTAATGACAAAAGACAAAATGAAAAGGAAACCCAAACCAGGAGAAGATATTTGCAATGTCCATAATAACAGACAGAGAATCATACCCAGCAGAATATGCAAAGAACTACCATGAAGCAATAAGAAAGCCACAAACTGCCCGACAGAAAAATGAGCAAAGGCTATGAAGAGGCAATTTATGATGGAGGAAATTCAAAAGCCAGAAAACACATAGATATGCAGCTGCACAAGTAACCAGGGAAATGCAAATTATCTCCAAAACGAGATACCATTTCATTTCCATCCTAATGGCTAAAATTAAGTAGGCGGACAATACCAGGCATTAGTGATGTGCAGCAAAGGGAACACTCACAGACTGCTTAATGGGAGGGTAAATTGGTAGAATTGCTTTGGAAAATGTGTCCGTATTGAGTATTGTTGAACATGTACGTATCCTAGGACCGAGATCTACTCTTCAGTATATAACCTAGAGAAATACTTGCAATTGTGCTTATGGGCCATGTACAAAGGTGTTCACTGTGCCGTTGTTTATATTAGTAAAAAGTTGTAAATGAATGAAAAGCCCATCAACAGGGAAATAGATATTTAAAGCAAATTAAATCATCACCCAAGTAATGTTGGGTGAAAAAAAGCAGGTTTCAAATGTGCAATAAAACAGAAGATTAATCTTTTTAAAAGATTATAAAATATAAGAACATGTAAACATATACAATTTATATATAGTATATCACATATAGTATATTTAATATTTTACATATATAGTGAAATTTTAAAACATAGCTAACTTCGGGATAATGGTTGTCTCTCTAGAGGGAGAAAGAATCAGACAGTGTTATAGGAGAGAGAACTTAAAATGTACAGTAGTTGGAAGATTCAAGTACACTTACATATTTACACCCTCAAGTTAAAACTCATAAACTATAATGTAACTCTACAATGAGTGCTAGTGTCACCATGATAAAAGGGGTTTTGCTTTTGCTTCTGATTTGTTTCCATGTGAGAGCTACTAAACTCCATTACCTTGTGTTTAAGGCCTCCAAAATCGAATCCCAGCCTCTCTTTACTGTATTATCCTGCCAGTCCATGACACTGAAGCCAGCCAAGTGTTTGCCATTTCCCAACTGACCCCACACTCTCCCCCTTCCTCCTTAGCTCACCCTATATCTGTTCCCTGGGATATTTACTCACTGACTCCTACCCAACTTTAAAGACTACTTGAGGGCTTCCCTGGTGGTGCAGTGGTTAAGAATCTGCCTGCCAATGCTGGGGACACGGGCTCCAGCCCTGGTCCAGGAAGATCCCACATGCCGCGGAGCAACTAAGTCTGAGCACCACAACTACTGAGCCTGCATTCTAGAGCCCTCAAGCAACAGGTACTGAGCCCACGTGCCACAACTACTGAAGCCCGCACGCCTAGAGCCCAGCTCCACAACCCATAGCAAGAGAAGCCAGGGCAGTGAGAAACCCACACGCACTGTGATGAAAAGTATCCCCCGCTGGCCACAACTAGAGAAAGCTGGCACGCAGCAAGGAAGACCCAATGCAGCCAAAAAAGAAAAAAAAGAGAGAGACTACTTGAATTAACCTTTGACCCCATTCAAACCTAGAATAGAAGATTTCTCCCACACTTTCATAAAACTTTGGTTATTTTCCGACAAGTAGTATAGCCTTTTTACATAAACGTGTTGCATTGAAGGCAAAATTACGGGAAACTCAGTCACTTTTTACCAACAAACCCATATAACTACAGCCCGGATCAAGAAGCCGATTATAACCACACCCCAGACATTTCCCATCTGCCTTCTCCCAGGCTACATCTCCCCAAAGGTAATTGCTGTTTTGACTTCTATTCCTGTAAATTAATTTTCCTCATCTTAGAACTTTATATGAATGGAATTATACTGTACAGTACGTATTCTGTCGCATCTGGCTTTTTTCATTCAACATTATGTTTGTGAAATCTATCCACATTGCTGCGTGTAGCACTACAGTGGTCCCTCTGCATCGGTGGAGGATTGGCTCCAGGACCCCCACGGATACCAAAACACGTGGATACCAAAACACGCGGATGCGTGAGTTCCTTACATAGAAGTGTGTACTATAGTCGGCCCTCGGCATCCGTGAGTTCTGCCAACCGCGGACAGATTTTTCTGCCCTCTGTATGTAGTTCATTCTTTTTCATTGCTTCAGAGTAATCCATTCTATGAATATACCAATTTATTAGTTCTTTCTACTTTTGATGGACATTTTGGTTGTAGTTTTTAGCTATTTGAAATAATGCTACTATAACCATTCGCATATATGTCTTTTTGGTATACATTTTGTATGGCATTTGGAGGATACATCGAAAATCTTTAAGATGTACTCAGAATTTATCCCAAGGAAAAAGTTAAAGAGTTAAAAGATTTAGCTATGCAGATGTTCTTTGTAGCATTTAAAAATAAATGCAAAAAATGTAAGTTATACTAAAATTTTAAAAACAGGACATTGGTTAAAAAAATTGGGGCATATCTATGCAACAGAATATTATATTAAAATAAATTAAAATCATGGCATAGAGTATATTTACTGCTAAGGAAAGATTTGCATGGCATCCTAGGTGGGAAAAAAATCTGATTATAAGAGAATATATCAGCACGAGACCACTTTTGTGAAAAAACTTTATATGTCGATGTATATTTGAAAGGATCATACCAAAAGTTTAACAGTGATATCTTTAGGATATGCAATGATGGCTGATTTTTTTTCAGTTTAACTGTATTTTTCCAATTTTCTAAATTCTTGTTCTTAAGTATAGCTATGGATTTACCCCTGTATTACACTGTATTCTCAGTGCACAGCATATTATTTGGCATAGAGTAGTTCTAGATAAATGCATATTTGACTCTATGAAAAGATATAAGTTGTCACAAAATCAAGAAGGTAAAAACAATTCAATTAATTTTATTCAATTTTAAAAGGCTGAGATAATTGCCATGGGACACACTGAGGTATAATTGACCATATATTTGGTCTTTGAGTGCCACAGAACAGCACGAATTCAGTAGCAGGGCTCTCTGCTTGTCACCATTGTGACCCTTTGCCCTCATAGCAGGTCAACCACATCCTTTACCAATGACCTGGTGATCAGCTCTAAAGATGGCCAGTATCTCGGATGCACTAAATGCCCACTTTCTATCAGAGACTGTTAACCTAAAACAAAGACTCAAGAGCCAAGTCCTAGAATGTGCTAACATTTTAGCCATTGATTGTTCTGTGTCTACATTACCACAGTTTTAAAGATTTCAGGCATCACAATGCACTTTTTAAAAAATTTGCTTTTTAAAAAAAAATAGATCTTTATTGGAGTATAATTGCTTCACAATACTGTGTTAGCTTCTGTTGTACAACAAAGTCAATCAGCCGTATGCATACACATATCCCCTCCCTCTTGAGCCTCTATCCCACGACTTTAAGTCATTGCAAAGCACCTAGCTGATCTCCCTGTGCTATGCTGCTGCCTCCCACTAGCTAACTATTTTACATTCGGTAGTGTATATATGACAATGCTACTCTCACTTCGCCCCAGCTTCCCCTCCCCGCCGTGTCCTCAAATCCATTCTCTATGTCTACTTGTTTATTCCTGCCCTGCCACTAGGTTCATCAGTACCTTTTTTTTTTTTTAGATTCCATATATGTGCGTTAGCATACAGTATTTGTTTCTTTCTTTCTGACTTACCTCACTCTGTATGACAGACTCTAGGTCCATCCACCTCAGTACAAATAACTCAATTTCGTTTCTTTTTATGGCTGAGTAATAGTCCATCGACAAATGAATGGATAAAGAAGATGTGGCACATATATACAATGGAATGTTATTCAGCCATAAAAAGTTTGCTTTTTTAAAAATGCAATACATTGCTTGTTTTCATCCTTCTCAGAAAACCAAACAGCATTTCCCCCCTTCATGTTGCAAATAGGAGGGGGTCATAAGTTAGATTTAGGCAGAACAGCCAGGCCTCCTCTGACCAAAGCATCTCTCCTCTCCAGCTCCCCCTGGCGTCCTCTTCGCCTTCTGTCGTGGGCTGAAATCCTCACCATTAGAATCCCTCCTCCCCCCACCACCCCAGCCCCTTCTCATTAGTACATCAGAAGGTAGTTGGTCCCAGGGGCCTACACGGATTCTGTAGGTGGTTACTGAGGGGCAGGCAGTATTGCGGGTTGTATGGGGCTTAGAGCCAGGGGAGAGCTGACTAGTGGGAGAAGGCTTTCAAGTCACACTTACTTATCCTTAAGGAGGAGGAGGCATTTCGTTCCTTTTAGGTGCTGGCAAAACCCATCCCATTCTTTGAGGCTTGGAGTGAGGATGTGACTCTCTAAGACTTTTGGGGAGGAGGGGTTCTCTGGGTCCCCAGCGCTTCGCTCATGCCAGCGTCCCAAGCTGCCTTCCAGGTGCTACCTGGGGTCTCACTCTCCCTGCTTGCACTACGTGTCCCTGGGGTTCCTAAACCGCCCAACCCAGACGTGCTCTAGGTCTCACCATTGAATCCGATCACGGCCTCAAGCTCCAGCTCGGCCACCTCAGCCACCTCATCCTTGGGCGAAGTTGGGGTCTCCATCACCAGGAGACTCCGCTCACGTTCCTCTCAGCCTCCAGAGGTGCAGCGTCTTCCGGTCGTTATGGTAACAGACTTGCGCATGCGCGCCAGATCAACGCCTGCGCTGAAACCCAGCCGAAGGAGTTCGAGTCCTTTTGCTCTCTTGCAAATGGAAAGAGCCGTTCTTTTTACCTTCTAGTATTTCTCTGGAAATTTAAGGGGCACTAAATGCACAGAACTAATTCCCTCCTGTCCCATGTAAAGAGTCTGTGACCTTTGGGGTAACTATATAATCAAGCACCTAATGGCATTTAAAAATTAAAGGATTGCCTATGATGGGAAGAGGCTGCTGTAAGACAATATATAATTGATACTTCTTTGGGTCCCTTGTTTGAAGCAGGACAAAAAGGTTTTTTTAACTATACTGAGGTATAAATTATATATAGAATTTACTTAAAGTGGGCTTTCGTAAATTTATATAGTTGTGCAACTATCACCACAATCCATTTTTTGTTTGTTTGTTTTTGTTTTAAGCAGGATAAAATGTTAAGTAACTGCTAGAGGTCTTGAGGGGCTCCTACATACCTGGGAAAAATGCTTAGATTTTGTTCAAAAACAATTTTAATTGCACCCAACTGTTCGCGTCTCTTAGTGGGACCCGATTGCTCCAACCTACAGTTCCCCGGGGGAGCGCTTTCCTTTCTTCATCACAGTTTGGAGGCCCTGGGGTATGTATATTCACTGTGCAAACTTCAGGTTCCGGTCGCGCACGGGTCGAGCCGCGGGGTATGAGCCGCGCGGGCCGCCGTAGTCAGCTGTTGCGAGCCGGAAGTGTCCGAGGAGTGGGTGGAGACTGCACCATGGCCCCGGACGCCTGGTGAGCCCGGGGTGAGGGAGGCTGCACGCGGACCGTCCCGGCGAAGGCCGTGCTGCTGGGGAGCGGGCGGTCGCTAGGCATTAGGGCTGGAGGCCTTTCGGGATGAGGGGAGGGGAGCAAGGCCCCTTTCCCTGCTGCCGGGGACGGGGGTTGAGGGGCTGGGCTCTGCCGCATTCCGACACCCTCTGTCTTGACAGGGGTGGCCGGGGCGGGAGACCCGGCGGACCCCTGAGGAGCTGAGTTCCAGTGCCGAATCTCTGAGCATTTCTTTAGCCCTTCTTGGCTGCATCTCCCGGATTCCCGCCCATCGTGGTTGTGGAGATGGCTGATGCAGGATTCCCTGGACTCCTGCGAAAGTGAAGTCAGAGTGACCTTTTTGTGGAACGCCAGTGTATCTGGTGAATCTCCTTATTTCCCAGGTGGAGAAACCGAGGTTCAGAATTCATGGTCATCAGCGAGTTAGTAACCAGTTGGCGCTAGCCTCTAGATCTTGTGGGCCCTTCAAAAAACTTATAGGAATCTGGGAGGGAAATTATGCCGTTGACAAGGTATTTTAGTACCACGAAGACTTTCTACGTCAGCATGTTCTGCAGTAAAACAATAGGTGATAAGGGTCTTTTATTCAACAGTTAAGTCCCAAGGACTGAATGATGAAAGACACAAGTTCTGATACGAGGAACCTGTTCCTATAGTGTATTGGACTTGAGCTTTTTGTTTACTAATTAAAAATGCTATATATAGCTCCTTTGGAGAATGTCATATTAGTACTTCTAACATAGTTTATTGTTTAAGTTGCAGATAGTCTGGATATTAAGAGATTAACTTTGCAAAATCAAAGTTAATCTACCTGGGAACTAGATTATCTGGGCCAATGGCTTAATTGATTTAATACTAATTTTTTTTTTCACCTAATTTTAACACCCCGATAGAAAATTTAGAAAATATTGAATATTTGCAAAGGAAAAACCCCCCATCTTTAACTCTTATCATTTGGAATAATTGCCACTGTTGTTTTTTTTAATTAATTTATTTTTGGCTGCGCTCTGTCTTTTTTGCTGCGCGTGGGCTTTTCTCTGGTTGTGGCGAGCGGGGGCTACTTGCGGGCTTCTCACTGCGGTGGCTTATCTTGTTGTAGAGCACAGGCTCTAGGCGCGGGGGCTTCAGTAGTTGTGGCTCGTGGGCCCTAGAGCGCAGGCTCAGTAGTTGTGGTGCACGGTCTTATTTGCTCCGCGGCATGTGGGATCTTCCCGGACCAGGGCTCGAACCCATGTCCTCTGCATTGGCAGGCGGATTCTTAACCACTGCGCCACCAGGGAAAAAATGAATCTATTACTTTGTATAATATATGTGTGTGTGTATATATGTGTGTATACATATACACACACCCCTGTATATTTTACAAAACAGGGAACATTCCTCCATATCATTAAATATTCACTGAAAACACAATTTTAATGGTGCTTAACAGTGCATCATATGAATGACCATGATGCACTATGATTTAATCATTCCCCTCTTTGTACCCTTTAAAAAATGTTAGAGGGCTTCCCTGGTAGCACAGTGGTTGCGAGTCCGCCTGCCGATGCAGGGGACACGGGTTCGTGCCCCGGTCCGGGAGGATCCCACATGCCGTGGAGCGGATGGGGCC